CCTGACCCCAACTTAAAGAGTGGAAGTTTAAAATTCCTGGGAAAAGCTGCATTTAAACATCTGCTGCCTGATTCTAGCCTCAGATAATACCCACAGTGGTTTTTCTGAACAAGAAGTCCTGAAGCTCTTATTTTGATAGTGAGACCTGGGAACTCCCCAGGGAGGAGGGACCCTGACCAAATTGCCCAAGGTGAAAGAAGCATCCAGAGTCCCTCATTCCTGTTCTCCTCTGGCTGCGGACAGAGAGAGAGAGAGTGGGGGGCCTGACAGGAGAGGGTGCCCACAGACTGGGTGCTACCTGCTAGCCTGGGCCTCCAGGAGAGGCTGCGGCGCATCCTGAGTGCTTGCCCATTATTTACGCTCACAGCCTGCTCTGATGACATATGTAAGTTGACAGCGAACATCCTATCAACTTGCTGGAGTGTATCTTGATTGTTAAAACACACTCTTAAAGGTGTACCATCATTTATCAAATTAAAATAGCCGCACCTTGCTTGTTCCTTCTCTGTCTTCCCGATGAACCCCTAGCAGTCTTCCTCTTCTTCTGGCCTCCGGGGCATCCTGCCCTAGCACTGGGCTCTGTTCCTCAAGGGAGGATGCCCCCGCAGCCGGGGACCCTGTCCTCGGCACCCCCTCCCCACCCTGCCCTGGGCCAGGGCAAGCCCACTAATCGCCAAGAAGTGACAAACGCCAGAAGCCCCACCAATTAAATTTAAACTCATGCAAAGCTCAGTGGCTAGTAAATTATTATTTTTATTAGCTTGAACCAAGTTCCCGTAAGAGAGAAAGTCAACTTGCTCCCATGAATGGCTCTTGTATAATTTATTTAACTCTGTGCTCTTTGCCAAAGCCTGGAATATTTTTAGCTCGTTCTGTTGTTGGATTTGGCTTTTTTATGTGTGTTTCTGAAGGGTATTTTTAGCCTCATCCATGTTATTCTAACAACCTCCGATGCGTTTTGTCCTGTCTGTGCGGGCTGCTGAACCCTGTCTCGCAGGGAGAAGAGGGGGATTTCTAAGAATAACCGGGGAGTGTTTGGGGGTGCATGTGTTCGGGGAGAGGTGCTGTGTGTCAGTGCTACTCCCTGCCCCCCTCCCTAACTCACTCTATTGCTCACATGACCTGGATATTCCTATAGAACACCCTGGTGTCCTTATAGGAATAATCAGACATGGTGGCAGCACAGCCCCACGGAGAAAAAACCCACATTCCAAAAACGGCTGCAGCGGGGTGGGCGCGGCCACCGCAGCCGGCCCTGTCCTCAGCTGCCAGATTCCCGGAGCCCCGCGGCTCCGCTGGGCAGGGTGGCAGCTTTGCTGTCTAGCTCTGTCACTGATGGAGCAGGGTGGGTAGAGGCTTCAGAAAGTAGCTCTTTTCACACCTACTTAATGTTGGTAACTGCCGCAGAGACACTCCATCGTGTCATAGAGTTAATGAGGTATTTACGAAAATGTATTTTTTTCTTTACCAAAAAAAAAAAAAAACACCCCACGTGATGAGGAAGGGGGAACCTTTGATGGGGTCTTTTCACACTAGGAAATTATCTTTTTTCTCTACGGGCGAGGCAGGGTTTTTGGTGGTTTTGATTTTATTTATTTAATTTCCAGGCGGGTCACCTGAAGCACTTTTAGCAGGAAGAGGGTTGCAGCTCCCGGGGAGCAACCCCAGCCCAGGGCACCTGGCTGTCCAGGCCTGGGCAATTCACACCCCAAAGACAAGAGAGGGGCAGGAGGGGAATCCAAGATTATTCATACTAAGATGTGAAATAGCCCAATGCCAGAGTCCCAGGCAAGGGGGATGTTGGGAGGACAGGACCTGAGCCTACCGTGCTTTAAGGGGGAGGGGCAGGGCAAAATCGGGCTCTCTGGGTTTCTCCCTGGGCCTGGGCTGCCCTCTGCGCAAAGGCGAGGTCCCCAATTGCTGCAGGCAGTAACCGTTGAGAAATCTTGGGTTGGATTTTGTTGACTCCCCTACCCTTGTTTTGCCCCCCTCCCCCCACTTCACAGCTTTGCCTCCGGACCATCTGTATTAGAGACAAAATCTAACACTGCACTAAAAATAATGGTTCCAAACATTTTAATTGCACTCTTGGTGACAAGGTGACTGGAACAGCATTTTACCATAAAACCCTACAGCCTGAGGGTAAAGCCACCAGCACTTTCATGTTTGGAAAAACAAGGGAAGGAGCCCAACAGCCCAGTGTCCCCCTGGAGTCCCGCAGGCTGACAATGTGAAAGTGCTGAGTGGGAAGGGAGGAAGGTAGCCAGCCGGGGAGACCCTCAGTCCAGCCTGCGTGGCCCTGCCAGGCCAGGCAGGGGGGAAGGCAGACCAGCGGAGGCAGGGCCTGCGTCCCTGATGGCTGAACTCTCTGCCAGGGGGAGCTGGGCACACTTCCCCAGCATGTTTCATCTTCCTGTTCGGCTGGTGCAGGGAGAGCGGGCTGGGCTGCTGCATCCCTGGCCTGCAGAACGGGGCCACCCAAGGAAGTGGAAGAAAGTCCACCAAACTGGCCATTTGGAAATCCACACATGAGATGTAAAAACAAATTGTGTAACTTCATTACACATTTTTTTCCCCTCCTAGATCCTATGTAGATGAAGAGTAAAGCAAAGGGATCCCGAGTGTAACTCCTTTTCTAAAAATACAAGTATCGAAATGTTTAAACCAGCACCATATCCGGGCTCTCGGCGATTGCGAGTTCGGCTGCACGCTGCACAGCCAGGCTTCCCACCACAAACAGGTCGGACATCTCCAAGCACAATTGGTCCCTCCAGTCCCCAAAGGAGTGGAAACTGGGCCTCCAGGAACAGCGGACATGTGGCCCTCTAGCCCCTAAAAAGGAAGCCCTGAGAGACCTCCAGCGCCCTCTAGGGCCCCCCCCCACCCCCCTGTGCAAGGGGGACGCAGGAAGGGTTTGGGGTCAAGCCATGGCAACAGGCAACGCAGGACACAGGCCAGCAGGCCCAGTGCAATCTCTCACAACCCTCTGCAGCCTGCACTCCAAGAACCACGTGGTTAAACTTAGAATGAGCAAGACAAAGGTCCAGGCCACCCCACCACACTCCCACCTGACTGGGTGTTGCCTAGGTCTGGAAATAAGGGCAGGAAGGGGAAATGGCGGCTGACCAGGAGCTGGCCAGGCTGTGGGTTGGTAGATGGGGTCAGGAAGCAGCAGTGACCTGAAGTGATGGGAAACAGGGAGTAGCCTGGTCTCCCCAGGCTTCATGGCCCGGACTGACCTGGGCACTGCTATGAAAGCCTTGGTGTCAGGGGCCTGTCCTCTCTGGTACTGTGACCTGCCAGGCTAGAGGGCACTGCATATTGGAGGGGGGAGGGCAAATGCTCCCTTCCCATCCCCCATCCACAAGGTTCAGCCTCCCCACCCCCCAGCTGGGGCCACAGCCTGCAGCCAGAAGCAGGGGCTGGTAGGAAAGCTGGGGAACTGTCCTTGCCTTCACCACAATCCCCTCTCTAGCTGCCCCAGTGGGGCCTGAGCTGGGTGGACAGTATCTCAGCACAGGGGCAGGAAGAGATACTTAGTAACCACAGGGACAGCAGGGAGGTATTTTTAAATCACCGATTGCTCAGGCTAGTCCTTTTTCTCTTTCCAGTTATAAATCTAGAGGAAGGAAAAGGGAGAGAAAGAAAGGAGAGAAAGGAGAGAAAAGGGCAGCCTGGAGGAAGGCTCTAGCAGGACAGCAAGTGGCCAGTGCCAGGCTGACCCCGCAGGGAGCCCTGAGCCCGCAGCTTTGAATATCCTCTGGCTGTTAATGCTGGAAGCCCGTTAGTAATTAAGCAATTTCGAGATTTTTTTTTTTTTTAAGGAAATGTACGTTTTGCTTTTTGACTGCCCTCCCTTCCGTCGTTTCCCTTCTAGCCCCATCTCTGCCATCCGTTTTAATCCACACACTAATTGTAATCCCATTAAAGCAGATATAATTTTATTAGTATTCACAGTTCATCAAGCTACAATAATAACTGTTACTGCCAATTTTTTTTTAAATCAGCAAACAACATTTCTGATGTTTAGAACAAACTGTAAACAAAAGCAAGCCTCCCTGTGTGGTGACCCTGAGTGTCCCCCAAGCAGCCCCTAGCACTTCCACAAACTCCGCAGGAGAGGGCCAGTGACCTCCGTGGAGTGGGGCGCGGAGCTCCAACGCCCTTCCCCTGGTCGTTAATATCGGCGACCCTGGGACTCCAAAGGCCTGTGGGCTCTGGCAAGGGACAGAAGCGTGGACGCCCGGCCCGGCTCCACCAGTGCCGCCCTAGGTTCTGTCCTCTTGGCGCAAACTCGCCGCGCGCACTCGCCTGCACCGAAATCCCCAGCGTAGCGCGGCGCGGCGCTGCCCTCCACGGGCGCGGGCTGCTCGGCTGGCCGCACTCTGGCCACGCTTTGTCCGGCTTTAGCGGGATACCAGAGGCACTTGTTAAAGCAAATGCATCCCCTGCAAACCCATTCTCGCCCTGACACTTCAAGGCTTTATATAGAAACAGGATTTGATCGTCTTACACCAGCAGTCCCCATTAGCGCTCGCCCCGCGCACACCGCCCTAATCCGCGGGCCAGGCGCGCCCAGGCCCCCTCCCCCAGCTACACAGCCGTTTTGTTCCGCAGAAAGCTCCTCGCTGTCCCAGGCCCAGAGCGTCCCAAGGAGGTGAATGCAGAATGCAGAAAAGAGGTTTCCGCGGAATTTAGTTGTGCAGGAAGGGGTGGGGGAGGGTGCCCAGAAGCGGAAGGCTTTATTTTTATCGGGCTAGCGGGCTGCCCTCTCTCGGAGACCCCGGGGGAGACCCCGGGAAAGGACGCTGTAAACTGAGGACCCGGCTCCTGGACTAGCCGGACTCGTGGCCCTCTCGGCGGAGGGCAGGGAAATGAAACCAAAGCTTCGCGAGCTGCTCGGAGGAGCGGAGGGGCGGACACCCATTCGACTCTCGAACTCGAACGATCCCACTCCCGCTGAGCCTTCCGTCCCGCACCCGCCCAGACGGGACACTGACCTGTGTGTGAAGCCATGGGCAGCGGCGATGGGAAGTACTTCCCGGGCTGGAAATGCGCGGGGGGCTGAGTGGCGGGCCCGGCCGGGGCGAGACGCGCGGCGGCGGCGGCGCTGCGGTGGCCCAGGCTCCCGCGCTCTGAAAGCAGATGAGGCGGCGGCGCGAAGTCGCGGCCATCCATGCCGGGCCCGGGCCCCGGCCCCGACCCGCTGCTGCCTCCCGGGAGCAGCGCGGCCGGGGCCCGGGGGCGGCTCGGCGCGCGGGTGGCGCGCGGGCGGCGCGGAGGAGGCGTCTGGGGTCACCGGCGGCAGGGGCAGCGGGGCCCGTCAGCACGCGGGCGGACTGGGCTTCTCGGCTGGCGGCCGCACATCGAGCTGGCGGCCGCCGTGCAGGTCCATGGTCTGTGAAGGCAAACAGAGAGACTTGGTGAATCGGGGGCTCGGCTCGCGCGGGGGTCCCCGCCCCACCCGTCTCCCTCCCCCCGCCCTGGCCGGAGCGGTGGCCAGGCCCGGCGGCGGGGGACCCGAGCGCTCCGCGCGTCTCTTCTGCCGCACACGCGCGCGCGCCGGGCCACCCGGGCCGCCCAGCGCCAGGGTCCCCGCGCATACACGCACCATCCCGACCACGTTTGGCCTGGAGGAGCCAGGGGCAACCCGGCCGCGCTGCGCGCCACTTCCCCTTCGCGTCCCCGCGCTTCCCTGCGGCTAGGGCGCCGTGTTGAAGAGGCTGCTGGCTCCACTGGGTGATAAAAACCCAAATCTGCGAAGCCATCACGCACACTCGCGCGCGCACTCACACACACACGCGCGCACACACACACACACACACACACACACTCGCACACCCTCTCCCCTCCCCCGCTGCCCAAAGGTGTCTCGGAGGAAAAGGCCTGGGGTCCAAGCTCTCATTTTTCCTCTCTCCCATCATTCCGAGGTCCAGCTTTTACTGCATTCCGCTTAACCGAATAACCATGCTAATTAAGCGAGTAATTTTATTGATTGTAACTCAAGAGTTTTTTTTTTAATAATCTTCCTTTTCTCCCCTCTCCCATCCCCCCATGCGTCTTTCAGTCCGTTCTTTTGAATCTGTCGCCCCCCTAGCCCAACGGGACGGCCCCCGCCCCCCGACACCGTGCCAGGATCCCAAGCCAGCTCCCCGGAGCCGCGGGCTCCCGCATCACCTGGGCCGCCGCGCCGCAGTGCCCGGCCTGCTGTCCCCGAGCCGGGAGCTTCCTGGCGAGGCTGGAACAATCACCCCGCCCCCCAATCAAATTCGCCCAGGATCTTCCTCTGCGGATTGGGGGCTTTGGGGGGATGCTTTGAGAGTCGGAAATTGTTTTCTTTCAGCCTCCCAAATCGGCCACAACATTTCTCCATTCAGTGTCTGCCTGTCCAGGATCGCCCAGCTAAGGTCGGTCTCCGCGTGGCCCGGCGGCCCAGGGATGCGGATGTACGGCACCGGGTTCGGCCCAGCAGCTGGGGAGGATGGGCCCGGCCCAGAGCGGCCTTCACCCACGCTCAAGTCCCCGCAGACCCCGGACCTCCATGGTCCATCCACCCCCACCCTCGGCAAGGCCGACTATAAATGACCCTCGCCTGTCTTCTCTTCCACTCCCACCCACCAAGAAGCATCTACTTCCAGGCGAAATTGGGGACAATTTCAGACAAGGCAGTAAAGCAACGGAGCAAGCTATGTTAAGTGTGCACTACCGAGGGCATGCTACCAAAGGTTCTCCCCTTCTCCATTCCTCATATTTCTTTTTATTTCCTAAACACACATTGTTTTAATGTTTGGTATCACCTCCAACAGAAGGGATATGGACAAGCTCAATACTCTTTAGTTGTGAACTTTGCAGAAAACCTCGTGGTGTTTTTTTTTTTTTTTTTTTTTTTTTAATAAGCCGTCCCACCGTGACAACAAAGCGATTAAGATGTTTTCCATTTCGTAAATACCATTTTAAATTGCTGTATTTTATGCTTCGAGTTCTACAACGTCTTATTTGCAGACTATTTTGTGTCTGATTTAATCTATAACCGAAAACATAATGTATTAAGTGAATACATATTTGCTCAGCTGATAAGCTTTTTTAATATTTATTCGGAGAGCTTTTGCATTGTAAATAAACGGGACTACACAAAGAGTTCTCTTTGTCTCGAAACTGCATACAAAGGGGTTTGGGGCTCCTTTCCCTCTAGGGATCGTCACTCTCCCCGGGTCCAACAAATAACTCGGCTCTCTGTCGCCCAGGCCCGCAAGCGAGCACCAGGCCTCCAGGACCCGGAGAGCGCAGGGCCGAGGGGCTGCTAGCTCCGGGGTCAGAGAAGGGTATGTCCTGGCCCTGCAAGAGGCTTGTGCGCTCTGGCCCTGGTCGGCGCCTCTCGAGCCCCGGAGGGCGCCAGGAGGGACAAAGGGAAAGAAGGAAGGGGAGGGAGGTCAGGAACCCGCGGCTTCAAAGGCACAAGGGCCGGAGAGGGGTCGGGGGGCTGTGCGAGCGGAGGTGCTAGGCTTTCCAGCGGCCTCTGGGGAGTCGTGTGTGTTGAGCTTTTGTTTTGTGGGTGCCCCCCCAGTATGAAATTTCAAAGTTGTGGAGAAAACGCAAGCTACTCGCGATTCTCGGGACGCGGGCTCCTCTACGAAGCAGTAATTTTATTCTTCCACCCCCTGCGGGCGGATCGCGGACTCGATTGTGCCTTCTCACCTACCCGCTCGATATTTTACGCAAACAGGGGCCAGATTAGGTCGCCGGTACGTGCCGCTGCGATTCTTACTGGACTCGGGGAGACTTTTCTTTGTGTAACCTCCTCCCGGGGAGGGACTGCACCGCGTCTCCTTGTCTGCGAGCGACTGGCTCGCGGAGCCTGGGGAACCAGAGCCAGCCAGGAACCAGACGCGGACTGGCAGCCATCGCGGCCAGGGCTCAGAGTCCTGCGGCCCCGTAACTGTGGCGCCGCCACCCGCGGAGTCCCGGAGCTCCAAACCCACCCCCCCGCCCAACCTCAGGACAGGCCACCGCAGAGGACCGCGAAGACTGCGCCCGCAGCCCCAGGTAGGGTTGGATCAAGCAGAAAACCCAGCGAAAGCGGTAGTATGCAGAGGGCCCCCGCTCCTCCCAGAGAATCGCTGACGAGGGCATTTCGGAAAGAACGGAACCTCGGTACACCTCCCCAGGGTGGCAGGGCGTGACCTCCGGAGCCTTGGTTCCCCTCTTCCCGCGGCCTGACGCTTGTCTCCCGCGCTTCAGGATCCCGGGTTTCTTCAGGTTTGCTTTGTTTTCAACTGTGCATCTAAAAACCCGCTCTTGCTTTGGCCGCCTGCTGGGGATCAGGGCTTGGGCCGGTCTGCCTAGCTCAGAACCCATCTCCCTCGCGCCAGCGAGCGCCCTGGGGCCTGCAGGCCAGGCCGGCACCAGGAGCGCACCGTGTTCGGGCGGTGCTACAAAACCCGCTCCCTGCGAAACGGCCGCGCCCACCCCCTCGGGAGACGAGTGAGAGTTGGGGTCGCGTCGGATCCCCGCGCCCGGGGACGCACCGGCCCGTGGACCCAGCCACGCGACTCGTAGTCCAAGCCCGCGCGCTGCCCGGAACGCATGCAGTAAAAACGTCCGGCTGTTCTAGTGCCCATCCTCTACCCCCACTCCTCCCGGGAATTTTTTTTTTTTTTTTCTGAAATGAATTAGGCTTTTGAAAGTGAAACCCGAAAATCTCCCCTCCTCAGCCCCTTGCTGCAGCCGGGAAAGCCCCTCTGAACAGCAGCGGTGGCCGCCACGAGCCGGCCAGTTCCTTGTGCCGCGGAGCAACCGGGCGGAGCCCATATAGGACTACTCCGGCAAGTGTAGTAAGATGCAAGAGCAAATAATTGGGGTTGCTCGTGGTTCCTCCAGAGCTAGGCGCTTGCTGAGTGTCTACCCGCAGCCACCCGCGGGGCGCTCGGCAGACACAACCTGGCGGTTCCTGTCCTGTCTCGATTATTTATTTTTAATGCTGGATGTCGATCGAGACAACAAGCGCTCAGAGCAAAGCAAGGACGCATCACGGGGGGAATTTTAAACCGATCGATAAGATTTTTCAGAGGAAAAAATAGCACTCATATATAAGTCCATCTTTTAGGAAAAAAGCCTTCTCAATATTATAACGGATTTTTTAAAAAAGGGAAAATATAATAATATTTCTTAACATCACAATCCTGAATTTATCTTGCCAAAAATGTAAATCCCCAAAGCCAAAATAAAAAATAAAATAATAAAAATACAAAAACAAAAAAAATGAAAGCAATTTCAGTTACTTACTGGAGGCTGTTTCCTGGATACAATTGAATGCAATACAATTAAATCAGTAAATGTGACTTTGTTTTGTATTCCTATTGGTATTTTCAATGTGCTGACTGTTGCACTGTAAATGCACCGCTTCCACAACAACGACTCTAGCGAGCCCATCCAGAGCGGCTCTCAAACCTGCAGCCCGGCGCGGCGAGCCACGGGCCCTGCATACTAATAAGCTCGTGCCACTCAGCCTGGAGCAGCCCGCGCGCTGATTGGACGCGCGGCCCTCCACGGCCGGGAGCTTGTGCCACTCATTCGGCGTAAACAGGCCTCCCAATAGGCTGGCGCCGGGCCAGGGAGCTGCCAATCAGGGAGCAGCAGGGCTACTACCAAGCCCGATGGCGCCTAATTCAAGCCCGGCGACTGCGCAGCTCCTTTGCGCAGATCATCGCTGCTGAATGGGAATGTGGCGGCGCTGGGCGGGAGAGGGAGCAGGGACGAGTGAGAGCGTGTGTCCAGGCCCAGGGGGAGGCTTTTTTTTTTTTTTTCCCCCCAAATCCGCAGGTCTAACGCTTGGTTTCTGTGTACAAAATGCCAGGAGAAGAAACAGCAACGCCCCTTAAAGCAGATGCCCTTTTTCATACTTGGGATCTGTCTGGCAGGTGGCAGGACCTAGGTGCAGGTAGGCCCCACCTCCAAGCCCAGAGGCCTTCTCGGGTTTCCCAGACCTTCCACCACTCTGAGACTGCCGCTGCTCTAGCTAAAGCCCAGGAATGCGTGCACACCCGCGGCTCGGGCTGCACGGGCACTACCCTGTCCTCTCCCGGCCTCAGACTCGGAGAGATGAGTTCTTCCTCTCCCACCACCTATTTGCAAGCGCTCAATTTTTAATCTCCCTGTGCCACACCTGGCAACGGAGCAAC